GTTTTTTTTTTGGCAGTACAAAGTGTCCAGGTCCCTTTATCGCATCGCATTTAAACATGTTTAGTTCAACTCTGATTATGCGAGTTAAAGTCTATCCGCTATCTCTCTCCTGGAACTCACTCATTTTGGCTTAAATTTCCTCGTTATGGAAATTAAATCATGCCATTAAAATGGATGCTGATGTTATTAACGTCATTTTACTTTGAAATGACTTCGTTTCCACGCAAGTCTCATGCTCTTTTACTAGAATATACTCTCCAAACAATTCAAAATTTATTTTCGAACAAAGGTGGGAGGTCATCACCCGTTCAATATGAGGATCAATGAGAGGGCTGCGTCACTTAAGAATTCATTTGGATTTCTGACAAACATATATTGGAGGATTCGTCCCTTGAAACCATCCAAAATCTGCTTTATGCTTCCATCCACAGGTCGGGTTGCAAAAAACTTATCGGCTTGTGTACGCATGTGATTTTTCCATTCACCCACAGGTAGATTTTCTGAACAGTATTCGCAGTAAATACCACTGATGGAGTTGATTGCGTTGTTGGCGTTGATGCCGTTGTTGGCGTTCATGGCATTGTTGGTGTTGGAGGGATTCATGATGATGCTGCTTTTGATGGTTGTGGTGAAGCTGTTGTTGTTGTCCTCGATGATTTGTTTTTCACGTTGCTTGTTTATTTTTTTAATGTTTTGTTTTATAAATATTTCACATTCACTTGTAAACTTTGTAATTGTTTAATTTTTTGATTTTATAAATGTTTCACGTACACTTGTAAACTTTGAAATTGTTTAAATTTTTTGTTTTTATAAATGTTGCACGTACAGTTTTTTAGTTTTTTTAAATTTTGTTTAAAAAAAATTGATGGCTAAAATTGACGTGACGGCTTGGAGTTCAAACTGAAAGTGAGTCCTTGGACTCTAGGATTCAACGTTTAGACCCTTTAGCCTCATTCACCTGAGTTTGCCATCTCCACCCGTTTTTTCCTTTCAACGTTGACGGAAATGGAAGACATTTTTATCTTGGGTGGTGGGTATATGGGCGATCCCTTTTAGAGATCACCCCACCCCTTTTGTAAGAGTACTGTCAAGTGGACAACTAAACTGAGATCTTGATTTTTCAAGATTTGAAGTGGGCTAAAGAAAAAGGAATTATATTTCGTGTCTCCTCATTTGGGTCAGTGTTCTGGGTCAGACATTTTTATCAGTGAAATGGGTTCATGAGTGAACTTTTTCCCACACAACTCCACCTTTATGTCAATGTAGTCCTTTCAAAGTTGAAGACCTGAGTTTTTATTAATGGCGTTGATGGTTGCAATCATAACAGGAAAATATAAGTGGGAAATTAGTGGGATGGGATAAATGAATCAATTAAATGACTTCATAAATATGTAAATGGGTGAAATGGGGTTAATCCCTCTTCAGTTCATTGGTAGTGTTTTAATTGGAGACGGGTACATAAGATGCTCCCTCCCTTTTTCGTTGGTGAGCGTCTCCTTTCGGGCACACACAAGTGTCTCCTTTTGTGCACACACAAGTGATCCTTTTTATCATCAATGAAAATCTCGGCTGACGGTGACCTTTTCATCCCTCTCTCTTCAATGCCTTGTGTGATCGTAGGTGTGCACAGATTACTTGAAGTGGTGTGAGTGTGACCTTTTCACCCTTCATCCCTTTTTGGCGTGTGATTCGGTCATGGGAAGATGATTGAACGTGTTTCGATATCGCTCCGTCGCATTCGCACTCGTAGCCGTATCGACTACGTCTTCGTGGCGGTAGCGCTTCTACGCACGTTTCTCACGTGTCCTCACACCATTCAATCAGTGACCTTAATTAATTTTTATTACCCTACCTTTGTAAGGGGTGACAGGTGTCAGATAACCCTAATTTATCTAATTATTGACCATAATTAGCGATAAAAAGATCAAAGCTTTCCAAGTTGTTAGGAATCCCATCTACTTATGTGCATCTGCTTTATAATTAGAACGAAGGCTGCGGCATTCAGCTCAAAATTGTCAAAATAAATACGACTCTCCATTAAATCGAGGACTGACCTTCACTAGGACTGAGCTTCATAGTTATTGCAAGAAGCTTAACATGATCTTTCTGAGCAATGTTGTGTTTTCGTCGAGCTACTCTTAATTGCGCCAGCTGCAGCAGCTTGTTGCTTGTTGTTGTATAAGTTCCCCCACTTGATTCGGAACATTTCTGAATGGTATTGGAATTTTAATTAAATAATCTATATATATATAAATGCTCTGTTCGTGTCTACATCCTTCATAGACTTGAAAAGTTCTGAACCGTTTAAGCCCAAATTTTTACACAACATGCGTTGAGGTTCCAGCTCGGTTATTGTCTACTTTTGATGTTGATAGCTTATCTGCGTTTGCGAATATATCAGTTTTTTTCGCGTTTCCCAGTGCCTCTACTGCTGCGCCCTCTACAGGCAGCCAGCTGAATCAAAGCATTTCCTGTCAAACATTCAAAACATATTGAAAGAAGAAATTGGAGATTAAAATTTTATTTTTTGTTCAGGTTCAGTAAGAAACGAAGTCATGCCACCAAAGAAGTCGAGATTGGGTCGCCGTATTCGCAATACAGAAGTAAAAAGACGTAAGATTACGAATATGACTGACGAAGAACGGGCCTCCATCCGAGAGACGCGGCTGCGCGATGAACTTTCACTCATACAGGTTAATGGTTCGGAGGACCGATTGCAATCATATATTGAAATGTCGTCAGTTGTTTCATCAGTACATTGTCGATATGTATGCACAAATTTAAACAACGTTTGCTGTTCCTCCGATTGAATCAGACGAAACTTCGGTCCGAGGAATATATCCATTTGCGGGATGCTGTGATGAATGACCGTAATACAACCAACGTTGGAAAGCTCACGATTTTGCCATCCTCATACATAGGTAGTCCACGCCACATGCATGAATATGCTCAAGATGCTCAGGCATATGTTCGTTGCTACGGCCGTCCAGACTTATTTATCTCCTTCACATGCAATCCAGCTTGGGACGAGATAGTACAGCTGTTATTTCCTGGACAACCGTATAGGGATAGGCATGACATCACAGCCCGTGTTTTCAGACAAAAGCTCAAGTCACTGTTGGATTTCATTGTGAAACATGGCAATTTTGGATCTGTGCGGTGCTGGATGTATTCAGTAGAATGGCAGAAGAGAGGATTGCCGCATGCGCACATACTGATTTGGCTGTATGATAAAATTACTCCAGACGAAATCGAAATCGAATCGAAATATGCGCTGAGATTCCACGGGCCGAGGTTGATACGGATTTGCATGAAGTTGTCATCAAGAACATGATCCATGGCCCATGTGGTACCCTCAACCCATGTTCACCATGCATGGTAGACGGGAAGTGTTCCAAGCGATATTCTCGAGCATTTACAGCCAACACCGTAACAGGGGACGATGGATATCCTCTGTATAGGAGACGGTCAACTGAAGATGGAGGGACTTCGGCAAATTTAAACATGAGAATTGGTGATATTGAGGTAGACAATCGTTGGGTGGTTCCATACTCACCACTATTGTCAAAATCATACAAAGCGCACATCAACGTAGAATATTGCAATTCCGTGAAATCGATTAAATATATCTGCAAGTACGTGAATAAAGGCAGCGATATGGCAGTTTTTGGTGTTCAGGCAGAAAATGGGGACAGCAATGCAGTACGAGTTGTCGATGAAATATCTCAATACCAGGCTGAAAGATACATAAGCAGCAACGAGGCTGCATGGAGAATTTGTTCGTTCCCCATTCATGAACGCTATCCAGCATTAGTTCACTTGGCAGTCCATTTGGAGAATGGTCAACGTGTCAATTTCACAGAAAGAAATGTGCAAGAAAGAGTCCTGAATCCGCCAGCTACAACTCTGACTGCCTTCTTCACCTTATGCCAGGAAGATGATTTTGCCGGAACCTTGATGTATTCAGAAGTGCCCTCTTAACTACAATATGCACCTGAGAAACGTGGCAGGGTACAGCTAGTATATTTATATATTACTGTTATTCTCTGTTGGTATCCAACACCCGATGACTGTCACAATCTGCTTCTTGATTTTTGAGACTTCTCGGGATTAAACCTCCAAGGGATAGCGTTGCTTCCAATTTTCAGATTAGTAAGGCGGTAAGGCGAAATATCCAAATTAGCATTTTATTGTTATCGTAAGGTATAAATATTAAAATTAACACAGAGTTTACAAGTAAGGTTTTGGGCTTTTTAAAATACGGCATTAGTTTTCCTCGGGCTCTTGCGGCTGAAGGGAAGCCTCTGATGTTTTTATTCTCTGACTCTTTTTCTGCTGTTCTCTCTTTGCCGCTCTGATGTCTTTGACTTTGCTCTATTCTCTCTTTGTCTTCTGCTCTTATATATTTTAAATTATAATTATAATTTAGTCAGAAGTTTGCAACGCAGTGAAGGAGTCATCTCCGACCATATAAAGTATTTATTTTCTTGATCAGCATCAACAACCGTCTGTCCGCAAACAAGTCTCACAATTTTGAAGCTATCTTAATGAAACATTGAATCTAGTCTTATATGTACTCTAACTCATATATAAGTCGGAAAGTGCAAGATCGGAAAACTAAATGATTATAAAAAAAATTGTAGCTTTTTCAATTCTCAATAGATTTATGATTTGATATATAGTAATTTAATGTTACTCTACAATTTTTTGTAAAATTTTATGAAAATCAGACTACTATGTCATATTATGTTACTATATTGTACAAATTATTAATGATAGAATTCAATCTGCAAGGGTATGCAAACTTCGGCATGCCGAATACTTTCCTTTCTTGTTTTCTGCTGCTTTACTGCTGTTTTTCTGCTTTCGTTGTATATTTTCTGCTGGGGTACAGTTTTTATTCTTGTCTTGCCCTTAAACATACATATGTACACACAATAATAGAAATTTTCCCGTTATAACAGTAGTAATAGTAGGCAACTTCTTGCTTCATTTCTGTTGATTTATATTTATTCATTCATTTTAAATTTTGCGTTGTGACTTCGTACTTTTGCAGTGTTGCTGTTAATAGTTTCGTTTAAAATGTTTAAAACTTAAACATTTTACTTCTAAATAATTTATTGTACTTTAAAAACTTACCCTTGTGTGTTTTTCGATTGTTTTCACGAATTTGCTCCATTTTTACTTTTACTTTTTCTAAAACGTTTTTCTCATATTCACGACGATCATAAATTTGTTTATAATGCAAGTTTTCAATTATTGCAGCTCCCCTGAAAAATTAAAAAGATTAAACCAATTAGACATAATTTAATAATATCCAGAAAGCAAATATCGTGTTGATAATTCATCATGATTATAAAAACAAATTTCATTTGGCATTCGTTATAATTCCAGTATACTTCGCTAGTGCATGGAGCTCTTATTGTGTACTATGGAGGTACTTGTGTACCGTAAGGAGATAAAAGATATCAAAATGTTCTGTTGAGCTGCTTAGGTTCAGTAAGGTTTAAGGGGTGAGGCTTCCCTAGTAACCTCCACTTAGAGCTGAGATCCGTTTTGCTCCACATCCTCGAACGATGCCTCCTCTTCAATACCAGATGGTGTCATTCAGGTAGGCTAGGATGCAGTCACTGACTGTCTCCCCACGTCCCCTAGTGACCCGAGCTGATGAGCTCCAAAGTGACAGGCCCTGATTTGGTTAAGCGCCGGGGGGCAGTGACACAGTGCCTCCTGCTCTCCCGATTCTTTGCAACTTCTGCAGTGTGTGTTGTATGGTAGGCCCATCTTGCAGGCGTGCGTGCCCAGTGGCCAGTGATGGTTGCCGTTATTTTTCTGATGTAGTTTTACTCTTGGAGATTAGCTACCCATTCCGTTTCCCGTTGTAGCTAGGCCAGGATAGCTTCGATTTGAAGTGATCTGTCTTTATTGACCATTCCTTGCTGGATAATAGTTTAAAATGGTCATGAATTTCCGTCTGGATTGTGTTCAAAGAGACTAGTGTGTCTGTTGTACTGGAGCTTTCCTCTGAGCCTTTTCTGCCCAGCTCGTCTGCTTCCTCGTTTCCTGAGATGTCGATATGTCCGGTTACCCATGCTATTACCCTGTTGTCCTCTGCTAGTCTGTGTAGTGCCTCTTTGCATTTGGCCACTAGTGAAGATGTAGTCCTTACTGTTGCGATGGATTTGATGGCCGCTTGGCTGTCTGAGTAGATCCTTACCTTGGTATTCTAGTCTCAATTTAGTGAGAGTTAAACTGCTTTCAGTATTGCAAGAAATTCAGCCTGAAATACTGTCGATAACGCTGTCTTCTACACCCCAGTTTCAGCTAAGATTCCGGTCCCTACCCCTTACAGTGTCTGGTGTGGTAGTTTTCCAGCAATGGCTTGCCTTCAGTCTAACCGCACTTTGGGCTGCTACATTCCGGATGAAATATTTATCTATTGGAATAATGTTTAGGATGACGTTTAGCGCTGGCGCGGGACATGATCTTAGTGCTCCATATGTAAGTTGGGTCTTACAACCGCTGTGTAGAGGCATATTATTATCTCGGGGTGGATGCCCCAGTTTTTTCTGAACATCTTCCTACAGGAGTAAAAAGCTATGCTAGCTTTTTTGACCCTTTCGTTAATGTTTTGTTTCCATAACAGCTTCGCATCTAGTATCACTCAAAATTCCATGCTTTCTATCTGAGTCTTATTGAAGTTAGAGATCTTTGTTCTTCTTGTGAAGAGCATAAGCTCCGTTTTACCTGGGTGATGGCAAATCCGCAGGCTGATGACGTCGGGCAAGGGTCCTGAAGTCAGTAGGACTACACCTTCACACCTTCACGGTTGAGTGTTTTTAATATGTCAACGATGTGTATCAACCAGAGCAGCGGAAACAGAACTCACCTTGAGGTGTTTTTCTATTCACAAAACTTGTGTGATGTGTGCCACTCAGTTCGGTTGTTATCTTTCTGCTCGTTAGCATTGGCCCGATTCAGGTTCTGATGCCATCTCAACTTTTATCTTGTTGAGGGAGCTCAGGATGGAATCTGCGTTTACGATATTGAAGGCCCCCTCTATGTCTAAGAAGGTGGCCAAAGTGTAGTTCTTGAAGAGCCACTTTATTTTGTGCGGTCTCTGTAGATCTGCCTTTCCTGCATGCATGCTGTGGATCGGAAAGGCTTTTCTGCGTTTTACCTCTGATGTGGATACATCGTATCCGTTCGAACGTTTTCTTGAGGAAAGGAGTCAGGCTATTCGGCATGTAATCCTTGGTATGGATGTGTCCTCCTCTTCCTGGTTTGGGTATGAAAACTTCTTTGCCTCCTTTTCCGGAATTGGTATATGTTTTTTTTTATACATACTTGGAAGATTGCTTGTAGCCACCCTCACATGCATGTTTTTGTTTTTTTTTTTTAGCATTGCTGGTATAATTCCGTCCGGACCCGGACTTTTGTACTTCTCGAAGGAATCGATTGCCAAATGGATCCCTTCCATAGTGACCATCTCTTCCACTCGTATTCGTTGGACTGCCATTTGCCTATCCGTTGTGCCAGATTCTTCTATACGGCTTCCTGGAAAGTGAGTGACCAGCAGAATTTCTAGTGACTCTTTTGCTGACGTCGTTCCTGTGCCGTCAGGCCTATTTATAAGTGAAAGGCTAGCTCACCCTCTTGTTAAAATCGTATCTATTCATCTAGCAATTCGCAGTAGCTGCTCCAAGAGTGCTTCTTGGCTGAGTATATCGCTTTTTGTATTCTTTATATATCTCCTTGTACCGTCGCCAATCCTTGCTGCGTTTTGGTGCTGTCCCCTGTGTCGGCATCGAGATTTCAAAGAATTGTATCTGTGTTCAGAAAACGAGTGTTGTGTCGAGACCCTCTATTTTCCTACAGTCGGTGTTACTGCGGGATTAGAGTCACTGACTGTCTCCCTACGTCCTTTTGTGACCCGAGCTGGTGGGCTCAAAAGTGACGGGCCCTGATTTGGTTAAGCGTCGGGGGGCAGGGACACAGTGCCTCCTGCTCTCCCGATTCTTTGCAACTTCTGCGGTGCGTATTGTTGGGTAGTCCCATCTTGCAGGATGTTGTAGGCCGTAGTTACTACTGGACACCATACCAGTGCTCCGTATGAGTGTATGGGTCTTACAAATGCTGTGTAGAGCCATATTATTATCTAGGGGAAGAGCAAAAGGTCCATTTTATCTGGGTAATTGCCCAATCTACAGGTTTTGCCCATGATATTAGTTGTCATTAGTTTGCTGATGACTTCAGAGATTGGTCCTGAAGTGAGTTTGACTACATTGTAGCTCTGCGTTTTCTATGACATTTACTCCTTCACTGTTGAATGCTTTCAATATCTCAATTCTGTTTATCAGCCAGAGCAGTGAATACAGAACTCCCCCTGAGGTGTGCCCCTCTACAGAAATCATGTTTGATGATTACCACTCAGTATATGAGTCTGCCTTTAGCATTGCGTCGATCCAGGTTCTGATGCCTTCTTTAACTCCTATCTTGTTTAGGGAGCTCAGGATGGAATCTGGTTTACGTTATTAAAGGATCCTTGTATGCCCAAGAAGGTGGCCAAAGTATAATTTTAAACAGCAGTGCCTTTTCTATGTATTACATCTAAATAGTTTTGTCCCCTTGTACAAATAACAGGAGGTCATTTATAGAGGGGTTTTCAATCAATTCAATTTTGTCTATGTAAATGCGTGTGTTTCTGTAGACAATTATAAATTATGTTAGACTGGCACAGAACGTTTAGCGGCGTTCGCAAATGCCGAATGATCTTTTCCCCTCCTCCGTTCTCCATCTCTCCATTGTATGCACTGCCCACTGCGAGCGATCAGCCGCTCTCCCGCACAATGAGGCAAGCGACATTGTTCCTGTGCCGCCAGGCCGTTTTATAAGTTTAGGGCTAGCTCATCTCCTGCTAGTATCTTGATGAACCTACCCATGTCTTTTATTCCTTCTAGCGATTCCCAGTAGTTGTGCTTCTTCTGTGTATGTCGGTGTTTTGTATTATTTTTGTAGCTTGTACGGTAGCCAATTATTGGTTTCGTAGCTTGTATTAAAGGCCTTCCTATCCCTTTTTAAGAGTACGCTTCGTTCTTTGTTCTGCCATTGTGTTATTGACCCGAGGATAAGAGTCGTTTTATTCTAATTAGCCCACTGCATCACCCTGATGAACGCTATAGGGTCGTGAGCCATGAAGCCGGAGGCTATGAGTATAGCTGACGCGTCCTCTGCTTCAAACCTGGCCACTGCTAGATCTGAGTTTCTAGGGTTGGGATATAGGATAAGGTTGTTTTTGATAATTATACCCGCCCTCGGCCTACTTGTTGAGCTGGTGTACATAGTTTTGTGTCGTTTTAAGGCCAAACCATAGATTTGCTCATCCCTAGACCATGTCTCTTATGTTAGGCCGATGCCGATGTCGATTTTTTCGAAGAAGGACTGCAAGATTTCAAGAAGCATAAGAGCTACGCTGTATCTGTACGACGGTCGGCATTATTGCGGGCTGGTGTTGGGGTGTCATCGTCGATACAACAAGCAGTCCAAGTCGTCCATCATATTGTTGGTGTCGTCGACTTCCTCTTAGAGGACATCGTCCAGCTCTGCTAGGAAGCTCTTAATCTTGGCCTTTCTGATGCCATTCCGAGGCATCGCTGGTTAATGAGGAACAAAAACGGGTGACTTGTTTTCATCTCCCGCTCCGCCTTGAGGATGGCCTAGTCCTCCAAATAGACCCTTGGATTCTGTGCTCGCAGAGCACACAACCACTTTGTGGTTCGATTCCTTCTTTGGCAACCAGATGTGTGCTCGGGGTTTTCTTGGGATATCCTTGGTGGGGAGTAGCTTCACGCTAATCCCCTTCCATGCGTTGCAGGAATTCCATGCAGGAATGCTTCCGACTCCAACTCCTCGACCACTACCTGGAATAGTGCTTGATCTTGTTCGCTTTGACGCGGAGGATCTTCTCCGAGAAGATGGTGTCAATCGAATTGATATTCCCCTGCGAGTCGACTTGTTGCAGCCAAGGAATATACATGTTATTGATGAATGACACTCGCTCGAACGTAATAAGGTTTGAGCTGTTAGTACCTATATTGAGACACTGGTTGGCACTGGTTGACTATTAATACTTCGTCGTCTACCATAGTGATGGAGCCTGCGTTTTGCATAGTACTATGCCCCGCATGTAGTCCTCAAGTACAAATATCGTGGACTGCCACCTTGCAGAGCGATGCGCAAGTTGTTAGTACGCAATCACTGACGTCGTTGT